GCTGAAAGGGTCCTACTTAACAGCGAGGTTCCTGACGAGGCAGGAAAGGGCAGTGTCAGAACACAGGTGTGGGGCTGGCCTTCCTAGGAGCAGGGAGGGGATACACACTCTATTGCAACCTAGAAGGACAAGAGCATGGGTGCAGACCATGAACTTGGGAAACAATGAGTGTGGGGAGTCTGGGAGTAACTGTCTGGTCCTGTCTGTATTTTTTTAAGAATTAGAAGATTCCAGGGGCACCCGGGTGGCTTAGTCGGTTAAGCGCCTGACTCTTGGTTTCAGGTCAGGTCATGATCTCACAGTCATGGGATCCAGCCCCGCACTGGGCTCTGCACTCAGCACGGAGTCTACTTCAGATTCACTCTCCCTCTCCCTCCCACTCTCTCTCTCAAATAAATAAAGAAAATCTTAAAAAAAAAAAAAAGAATTAAAAGATTCCAGGAATTCTTTTGTTTTATGAACTGAGAAAAAAATTTAAAAGCCCCACCCCCCTAAAATAACCCAACCTCCATTTATGAAGAGTTCAATTAGAATCTATTTTATTTCTCTCTTTCTAAGCTTCTAACACAACATGCAATCACAGCTATCTTTATAGAATTAAAATCAGGACAAATATTTATTCTAAAGTATTTGTTATAATTAGTTCATCAGAGCACTAATACTATTAATAATCTAAAATTTAGAAAGTTTTGTTATATATATATATAGAATATATTTTCTCATATGTTACAGTTTTTATTTTTTTAATTTACCCTACAAAATTCTTAAGTTATTTGGGATAGAGTCTTTTTCCATCTCTGTATTCTTTTTTTTTAAGATTTTATTTTTAGGTAATCTCTACACCCAACGTGGGGCTTGAACTCACAACTCCGAGATCAAGAGCCACACTTTCCATGGACCAAGCCAGCCAGGCGTCCCACCATCTCTGTATTCTTCACAGCAACAAATAGAGTTCCTTGTATTTAGTAGCTGTTCAAAAATATTTTTTGAGCTTGAATAATCTTTCTTTATAATTTTTAGGTATAAGGACATTTTATTCATACTATTTCATGTAACAGTATACTTTATTCACTCTAAATTTAATCTTTAAAAATGTCTTCATTCTGTCAAATAAAAAGGCAATGCTAATCATTTTTCCTCACTAATGAGTTTAAGGAATATTTTTTTTCATTCAAAGTTATTTTACTTCCAGTTCACTAAGCAGTATCATAGTTCCAGGAATTGGTGACTAAAATTTCCTTTGCTAACACCAAACATAATTCTTTTTCTTTTTAACACTCACTTTTCAAATTTTATTCATAACCATTGAATATGTGTATGACAACGCAAATACATTACTACTCGAAAGATAATTTAACTAAACAGCAGACACAGCATAAATAACTGCAACACAATGATATTACTGAATAAGTCAAAGCATAATCTTTTATGACATTTTTGCAAAAAAATGGATATTTTTATGGGGTACTTTATATAATACTTAATTTAATTTTAATTTTTAAAAATATTTATTTATTTATTTATTTGGGAGGGGCAGAGGGAGAGAGAGAATCCCAAATAGACTCCTAGTTGAGCCCCACTCGGGGCTCGATCCCACAACCCTGAGATCATGACCTGAGCCGAAATCAAGAGTCTGACACTTAACGGACTGAGCCACCCAGGTGCCCCTATAATATTTAACTTTAAAGGAGGTAATATTGTTATCAAGGCAACAATGCCCCCGCCAAATTCATGTTTACCCAGAACCTCAGAATATAAACTATTTTGAAAATGAGGTTTTTGTAGATGTAATTAGTTAAGATGGAAACATGTTATGGAAAAGTATGCACAAGCAGAGGGAGCGGCAGGCAGAGGGAGAAGCAGGGTCTCCGCTGAGCAAGGAGCCCGATGCGGGACTCGATCCCTGGACCCTGGCATCATGACCTGAGCCAAAGACAGACGCTTAACTACCTGAGCTACCCAGGCATCCCACCAAACATAATTCTTAAAAAAAAAAAAAAAAAAATCCCCAAATAACAAATTTCTAGTAATTACAAAATTCTGTATAAAAGCTTAGAAGTTCCCTGACTTATACTAAAAGATTAACCTTTAAAAAAGTAAGCAGAAATATATTCTAACTTTTTCTTAGTGGCTATTTAGAAACATTTCCAGCTTATTTTTTGGGCCCTATACTAAGATATATGAAGGGACCAAGAACCCAATGATCAGACTGACATCCAATTAATGCAAATTGCTCCTCATTATAAAGACTTTGGGTACAAAGTAAGTTAAGGCCAGGGAAGACAGTTTGAATCAGATAGAAGGTGAGAACTGGCATCTAGGAAAGACTCAGAAATAAAGTTGGTCAAGCAATAATGGCCAGATTGCAGAAAGTCTTGGAAACTAGAAAGAGGAACCGACATCTTACGTGCTAAGAAATGAAGACTGTTGTAGTTTCTGAGCAGAGTAGGGCATGTTAACAGAAGAGGTAATAAGGCAGAGGGTGTAGTCTCCAGAGTCAGTGCCTGCTTTGAATCCGATTCCATCACTAATTAGCTGGGTACTCCTGGGAAAGACAGTTAACTCTTCTAAGTACAGGTATCCTAGGGCAATAACAACATTCAGCTCTTAGAGTTATTATGAACATGGGATTAAAAATGATAGATGAAGCGCTTAATGTAATAACACAAGTAATGTTAGTAACAACACAAGGAATGCTATTCGCACTAAATGAACATGATCAAAAGATGTAGGCTCATAGGAGGCTACCAGGAACTGGAAAGTAGCAATGGAAATTTAGAAGAATAAGACTCATTTGAAAGAAGACTTGGTGATTGTCAGAATGTAAAATTTGAAAGAAAGAAAGAAAGAGAGAGAGAGAGAAAGAAACAAAGAAAGAGAGAGAGAAATGTATTATTTACTTTGGGTACCCCTTCTTATGCATGGAGAATTTTCCACTGTACGAAAGAGCTTTGATGAGAGGCAGGAGCTCCATCTCCCATAAAGCTGAAGACAGATATTCATCCTCACTGTCCTTGGAAGTTTAGGGCCCAGGATTGCCCTAAAGCTAGTAAAATAGATACTTGAACCTAGGTTTTAAAATCCAAGGCAGGGGGTGCCTGGGTGGCTCAGATGGTTAAGCGTCTGCCTTTGGCTCAGGTCATGATCCCAGGGTCCTGGGATCAAGTCCCGCATCGGGCTCCCTGCTCCTTGGGAGCCTGCTTCTCCCTCTGCCTCTCTCTCTCTGTCTCTCATGAATAAATAAAAATCTAAAAAAAAAAAAAAAAGAGAAGGAAAGAAGGAGAGGAAGAAGTGCTCGTAAGGACTACAAAGCTGAGCACCAGTTCCAGGCATATAGTAAATACTTAATAAGTATTTGTAGCTTGATTACCTGGACTGTGGCTCTCCAGAAATTTCAAATATTTATACGACTCTCATCAGCTATTTAACTTTACATATTTCTCTACCATTCAGTGATCAAGCCTATATTTGGAACTTAAGTATCTATAAATACATACTTAGCACCGTATTATGTTATATGGAATAATATCTACATCTATATCTTTGTTACCATGAAGCTAAAAGTTAAATTACAATAAAACTTTCGATTAGCGCTCCTATTTTTATATCCATTAAGGATATCACATGGAAAAGAAATCTTTAGATGTGAATAATGCATTGAGGGCTTCAGTCCTACAAATAATTCAAGAGATGGCAAAGGACAACCTTCATTCATATGGAAAATATTTATTGATGCTGTCTATGTGCAAGGCACTGTTCTAGGCTCTGTGGGATTTAGTGTTGAAAAAAACAAGTTTCTTGCTTTCCAGAGCTTACTTCCGGGGAGGAAAGAAGTAGATCAGGTGCTATGAAGAAACATAAGCAGAGGAATGAGATACAAAGAGGTACACACAAGATTAGAAAGTGATAGACAGGTGATGACTGGCCAACAGGAATCTTTTTTGGTTAAACTGATGTTTGGAGATCTGAGTGAATAATATCTGCTAGCCATGCCAACATCAGGGCAGAGAGCATTCCAGTGAGAGGGGACAGCTAATGTAATATCCCCGATGTGGGATAATGTTTGGCTTGTTACACGAACAAGGAGGCCAGTGGGGCTGGAACAGAAAGAGTGAGGGGAGAAGTAGAATGAGTTGAGCTCAGAGATGTAGTCCCAAGTCAGAGAGGCGCTGTCAGGGGGTGGAAGGCTATTAGTACTAGGAATTCAGAGAGAAGGGAGATCAATGTATACTGAGAGATAACACACAGAAAGCTTCTAGCACACTACTTGGCACTGAGTAGGAACTATATATGGTGTTTTATTACTATTATTGTTGTTATTAGTAACAGCTGTTGCAAGAACAGTACAAAGAATTCCCAGAGACCCTTGGCCCAGATTTTCCAAATGTGGATGTTTTACATTTGCTTTCGATGTATATGGTATGTATACTTTTCGCCCCCCTGAACTGTTTAAGATTAAGTTGTAGAAATGATGCCCTTGTATCCTAAATACTTCAGTGTATCTTTCTCAAAACAAGAAACCCTGTTACGAAACCACAAAACAATCATCAAAATCTGGAAATTAACATTTATACAGTGCTGTTATTTAATTTACAGACTTTATTTTGGATCTTATTGTTTGTTCCTATTATGTCCCTTACAGCAGAAGAAAATCAAGCTGATGCACTGCCCTGTCTTTATTTGTAGCAGTGTGGACTCATGAATACTTATTGATTTAATAAATGATCATCTTTTATCATTATTTATTTTGGTGTTGAAATTATCCCAGATTTGGACAGTGGTGGTGCCTACAAACGGCCTCTTCTGTCCCTTGAACTGTCTCTATTATTCTTTGAGCACTTCCTTACTTTTTGGCACTATAAGATGTTCTGCAACTACCTGGTATTTTTCCAGTCCTGGAACCAGCCATTTCTCTAAAGAGCTTTTTGGCCATGTGTGTTACTAATTAAAACTCCTTCCCCTCCTCTGCTCTGTTCCCCCCGCAAAAGATTATTTAATACCTTTTGTTGAATCCATTCCTCCAACTGCAAATAATGTTCCAACCGTTGACTTTCTAGGTTTGGTCCGAGGGCTTTGTAACATGGGTCGTCTCTCTGGTAATAAATGGTACTTCATTGCTTCCATAATAAGTTTCTGACATTCTATATCATCCCGAAAAAGTACATTATTTTCCATGTCTGCCAGGAACTAGAAAAGAATAGTGAGTATGTATGCTGAATGAGCAAGAAAATAGTAATTAAAAGAATATATAGTTTACAAATGGAAAGCATCTCATTTAGAAAAAAAAATCCAAGTCTGGACACCTATTTTTAACTAAAATATGCAACATTTACAAGATTTACATTTTAAATTTCATTGAAAAATATAAACTGAAGAGGATCAGTGGTATACTCTGAAACCTGAAATAGTGCTTATCTCTGGGGAGTAGAGAAATGGTGCTTCTTAAATAATCTTTTTTACTGCTTTTCTATATTGTCTAGATTTTCTAAAATAAGTCATTTTTACTTTTTAAATTAGAAATGATTTTAACTGAAGAAGAGTAATTATAAATAGAAGTTGACTAATTAGACTGCATTTACCTGACCTCTCTAAACAGAGCTCAAAGAACAACAGCAGGGGTGCCTGGGTGACTCAGTGGTTAAGCATCTGACTCTTGATTTTGGCTCAGGTCATGATCACAACAGAATCATGAGATCAAGCTTTGAGATGGGCTCTGTGCTGGGCAGGGAGTCTGCTTGAGATTCTCTCTCCTTTCCACCTGCCCCTCCCCACCTCTAAAAAATAAAAAACAACAACAGCAAAAACTTACCAGTTTCTTAAGGGGCAAAGAACTCTAAATGATGATTATCCTGAAAGAATTTAAATCCCTTGTGCTTCATTGAATCTGATTTTTAAAATTTATATAATTTTATGCAAAAGTATAGATATGGTTTCATCCTGCCTTTTAAACCAGATAAAGGGCTAGTATCCAAAATCTATAAAGAACTTATCAAACTCAACACCCAAAGAACAAATAATCCAATCAAGAAATGGGCAGAAGACACAAACAGACATTT